AGAAACAGAAGTCATTCAAACTCCAAGGGCCCTTATTGTTGTAAAGTGCCATTGAGTCAGTTCTAACTCATAGCAATCCTATACAGGGTTTCTGAGAGGCAACTGGGGAGTTTGAACTGCCAACCTTGCAGTTCAAACCGACCTTGTAGTCAAGTGTTTATCCTACAGTGCCATACCAGGACTCCCAAAGACCCTTGGAGGCCTTCAAAACCACACTCAAAAATGGGTCCAGAGAAGGAATAAAACCTATTCAAGGTCGCCTGGAGTCAGTGGAGTTGGGACCAGACCCAAGTTCCAGACCTGAACCATCTGAACAGTGCCCCCAGTTAATACAGCCCAGAACCTGGAGTCAGATGGCCCCCAGGGTGAGTGTGCTTCTCTGCTTGTCTCCAAGAAGGCCTGGGGTGGAGTGTCCATAGGGCCACTATCACAGTTATGGAGGTCTCATAGATGCTTCCTCCAGGAAGCCTTCCTGTGACTGCCTAACTTGAAAAAAAAACTTATCGTTGCAAAAAAGTACATGACACATTTGCCAATTCCACAGTTTTCAGGTGTACAATTTAATGATATTAATTATATTAATCATGTTGTACAACCCCCAACCATGATTGTTCCCATCACCGTAAATAGAATCTCAAGGCTTCCTAAACAATGGCTGCCTTGTCCCTTTATTCCCCACAGCCCACTAATGAACTTTGGTCTCTACACTTCTGTCTAGTCATACGAGTGAAATCAGGACTTCTTTTAGCCCACTACCTTTTGATGTTCTTGCTGGGAAGGAAGCATTCCTGAATCATTGAACTAATTACCAGTTGCTGGCAACTTAACTCCAACCCATGGCGAGTAGAACTGTGCTTGCTAAGGTGTTCAGCGGTTGCTTTTTCAGAAGTAAAACCACCAGACCTTTCTTCTGAGGCCTTTGTGCCTCCGAACCTTTCAGTAAACAGCTGAATTCATTAAAAAGTGGCACCGCCCAAGAACTCCCTTTGTTATTTTAGGCTATGCTTAGGAAAGTTCCATAGCCAGTATGGTGAAGCCCTGACTGGTTCATCCCATTCAACACTCCTCACTCACTCACTGAGTGTCTGCTCTGGATCAGCTGGTGCTAGACACTGCTGCTACCACAGAGAGCAAGTTACAGCCCTGTCTCAACGTACCATAGCCAGTCTGAAGTAACATGAGACAAGAGAGTGTTGTGTGATCCATGCTAGGATGGAGACACACAGAAACCTAGGGAGTACAGAGCTGCCTCCTGGACAAGTGAATTTGTGAAGAGATCTGAAGGATAAAGAGGAGCCAGACAGGAAGTGGGGATAGAAAGGGTGTCTGTCCTAGGCAGTGAGAACGGCTCATAGGAAGGCTCAGAGACAAGAGAATGCAAGGTGCGTGAGAGAAACAACCATCTGGGCCAGAGTGAATCAGCAGGGTGGACCTGCTACCATAAAGGTCCATCTTCAACATCTGTCTACCAGTGGTCACAGCCTCCCCTTGAATACCCTCGGTAAGCAAGAGGTTTCTTTCTCACCAACTCCTTCTCATCCCAAAGGCAGCCACACCATAATAGAGAGAACTGTTTCTCTTAATCAAGGGAACTCACTTTCTTAGCATGTTCCCCACTGTCCCCAGTTTCCCTGTGTAGAGTTAGTTACACAAAAAGGTTCCAGGCTCTGCTCCGTCTGTGTAACAGCCTCTCGGTTAATTGAAGACAGTGCTCAGCCCTCTCCTGTCCAGACCTGAAGAGTAATATTGGGCAATGCCAAAATGCAGGGCAGATTAGAAGCTCTGTAAGAAATTTTTTTGATTGAGACTACTGTGGACCGGAATTGTCAGAAGTGTGGGCGGCATCCACCTTCCAGGAAGAGAAGCTATCCCCACGGGGCTTTGACAAAGATGTAGTTTGGATAAGATTGAGGAAATGGCATTCCAGGAGAGGAGTCCAGACCAGACAAAGGCATTTCTTTAATAATAATCTATTTTATATATAGGGGAACAATCACTAATGAGGTACACACACCATAAAACTGTCAACCATGGGCAGCATTTACTTAAAAGATAAAATTCCTAAGTGTGGGGAGAGAAGGAGGAATGGAACCAAGAAACAGGAAGGAAGTGAAATTAAGTGGTGTTATATTGAAAGAATTGTAACTGAGATGAAACCAAGTGTGTAATTTGCTGCATGAAAACCTAAAGATTTGCTTTGTAAATCTTCAGTCAATTCACAATAAAAAAAAATTTTTAAATAATAGTAATGGCCTATGTGTTTTGTTCAGTAATCTTGCTTTTTTCTTAATGTAAAATAACATATCTCCAATAAAAAATTTTGAAAAGGCAAATGAACAAAGTGAAGAGAAAAAAATCACCTCTAATTCTACCTCCATCCAGATTGTTATGTTGTTGTTGTTGTTGTTGTTAAGTGCCGTCGAGTCGGCTCCAACCCATAGCGACCCTGTACAGGGTTTCCGAGGGTGTAAATCTTTACAGGAGTAGAAAGCCTCATCTTTCTCCCGCGGAGCCGCTGGTAGTTTCAAACCGCTGACCTTAAGGTTCGCAGCCCGATTCATAACCACTACGCTACCAGAGCTCCTTCCAGATTAAACTCCATTAATATCTTCATATTCTCTTCAAGACTTTTTCTCTATGTGTGTGCATGTGTTTTAACCAGACTTGTACTATACATAGTTTATTCCACACTTCTTTTCATTCAGTAATACATGGTGACTCTTTTCTGGCCACAAAACATTTTTCTCTAGCATTGTTTTGAAGGTTACATTGATCCTTCCTTGGATGAACATGTTGTTGCTGGTGTTAATTGCCATTGAGTTGATTTTGAATCATAGCAACCCTGTATAGGGGTTCTAAGAAAAAGCTGGTATGTTTGAACTGCAGACCTGGCTGTTCAAACCGACCTAGTGGTCCAGTGCTTTGCCACATCAGTGCACACGTATTATCATTCAGCTAACCAAATGTCAGGCATGACGGTTGCTTCCCATTCCACACCACACTTTTTTTTTTTTTTTAAGCTAGTAGAAATGAAATCTGGCTGTTCTTAAATTCATTAAAAGTCCAGGTGTCTTCCTTCTTATGGATTCCTACATAACTCTAGTCCCTCTTGGCTACAGGGCATCTACTTTTTTCATGAAGGTCCTTCCCCTTGGTACTTCCCAAGGTATGCTGACATGTCTACAGCTCTAACAGGATTGTGGCTTATCCTTTGGACTAGTCAGCCATCTTAGTCCAGAAACTGCTACTCTTTTCTCTAAGGTTCCCCTCTTGGCATTTGGTAACCTGTTTCTCTGGGCCATGACATCCCTACTCTATATGTTCCTAGAGTCGTCAAAGGCCCCAAGTCTATCATGGTCCAGTCAGGAGCTCAGAAATCCATGTAGTCTTTCAACCTAAGGGAATTCATTACAAGGGAGTTGGGTATCCACATGATGTAAGAGCTGAGAATCCAATCAGGGACTGGGAGATAGCCCAGAGAGTCACCATAGCAGGAAGCTGCTCAATGACTTAATGGAAAGTATGGGGGAGATAGTATTCCAGATCCCAGAAGCTGGCCACCTGACATGAAACATGGTGAGGGCCAGTTGGCCAGAGGGGCTGTCCAGCAGGCTGGAGTCCCAGAGACACAGTCGTTACTGGGGCTATCACTCAAAGCAGAGAAAAAGGGGGAGAAATACTCTGAGTTTTCTCTTCCAGTCATCCCATCATCCCCCAGTGCTGCTGGTTGACTGGGTCTGTCAAGAAGCAATTGACAAAGCATCCTGGGAAATGTAGTTTCCTGCAGTAGAGAAAAAACTTGGTAAATCATAGCTTAGATATGACTGCTTTATTGAACAAACTACCAAAGGCTCAGAGATGATAGAACACAATTACAACATAGAAAAGACAAACTTAAAGTCCCTTGGATATCATAATGCATTATGTCCAGAAGCCATATCTTCCACATGATCCTTTATGGGCCAACTCTCCTGACATAGGCTTGGCTTGCCCTTTTATGAATGGGGCCAGCCAATCTTTCCCCATGAACAGGGCCCTTTTAACATGTCTCTACCCTAACTAGAGTCCAGGCTCCTTCACCCTTCCCCAGGGCCCAGCAAGGAAAAACCCATTCACCAAATCCCTGTCCCAAAATCCATCCCAGAATCATATTAATCTCTCTAGATGTACACATTGAGCAGTTTGAGAATTCATTGTCCCAAACCAACTACTCACTTGTGGATTTTGTTCCCATCTCTAGCACAGTCGAAAGAATCACTAGTTTGAGACCAGTTTTTTTCTAGCCCGTTATAGATTCTAGACCCCAGGGACCCACAGTACGAGGGCCTAGACACCCCCATCCCCAGCAGTCTCTCAAGGAAAAAACTGTCCCCAGGCCCGTTGTTCAGTATAGGGGGCTTGGATTTGAGGCACCAGGAATAGTAGCAGACTCCCTATAGCTACCACTCCTCCTGCTAAAACAGAGGCAAAGAGTCATAACTTTTCCCTTGCTTCAAGGAACATTCTGGAACATACGTTTTGCTCCCTTGTCCAGCTATTTTCCTCAGGGTTAATTCCCTGGGAATGGAACTGATGGGGTAAAAGATAGGCATGTGTTAAAGGCTTTTGATATTCACTGCCAAATTGCTCCCTGATAAGACTATGTACTATAGTTTGTTACTGCCTTTTCTGCCTCCCAACTCCTTGATAAATCACTGAAGAGTCAGGTGAATCAGGTCCCAGCCACCAGACCAGATAAACAAGCCAGCCTGTCAGTGTTGTGGTGTCTTCTGTAACTAGGAAGGGAACTCCCTTGAATTCCGCCCAGGACCCAGAATTCCAGTGCTGGAGCACACAAGTACCTTTGTACCCCTGCTCCCCACTGGCTCAGGTCCCGCCCTCTCCTTCTGTCCCTGCCCTGTGCTCAGGTAGAGGCAACTGCCAAGGCGGCAAAGCTTCCCCAGCCTCACACTGTGCACAACCCAGAGTGGAGGGCAAGAGAGCGTTCTGTGCTGGGCCGGATGAGGACTCTACTGACCATCCTGGTGGTGGTATCCCTGGCTGGTGAGTACCCACCCACCCTGTGGTCAGGGTTATCTACCCACACCCCACCCAGTCTCAGAACAGCCAGTTCAAGTTTCTTCTCTGCTAGGGCAGAACTGGATGCTAGATTTTCTTGGAAAAACAGATGTCTTGCTCAGGGTGCTGAGGGGAAGAGAGGATATTTCAGAGTCTGGGTTCTTCCAGAAACTCATCTGACCCTCGAGCCGAGAGATGGGGATGGGAAGTAGCTGTCTGTCTGAACTAGGAGTCACAGACCTCCCACCCGGATGGATGAAGAATTGGCCCAGGGGAGGTGGACATCCTCTGGCCCCTCGATCATCCCACTAGAAGTTGTACTATCCATTTCTCTGCTTCTGGCCAGCACTAGCCAGAAAAAGGGAGGCAAGGAGGAACAAGACGGACAAAGCTGGAATTGTGCAATGTCACCATCTCTCTCCTTTCCCCTGTGGGACAACATCCAGCCCCCTTTGCTGGCGTTGTGAGTGGCAAGTTCTACTTTGTTGTTTGTGTTAAGTCCGTCGAGTCAGTTCTGACTCATAGGGTTTTCGAGAAGAGGTTAGCAGTTCAGTGCTTCTTCTACAATACTACACCAGATCTACTATAGTTGTTAAGTGCAGTCAAGTCAGTTTCAACTCATAGCAACACTGTATAGGATTTCCAAGGAACAGCTGGTAGGTTTGAACTGCCAACCTTAATTCCAAACCAAATCCACTGCCAAGTCAATTCCCACTCAGTAACCTTGTATAGAGTTTTTGAGACTATAAAACTTATTGGGATCCGACAGTCCCATCATTCCCCCTTGGAAAGCCTGATTAGCTTCCCAACACTCATCCCACAGCAGCACTAAGTCTTAAAGAGCCAGAGTCCTTTTGAAAACAAGACTAAAGGATATAGTTTTCAAATCCAAAAACGTGGACTTGGAACCAACATTATGGAGAGCTTACAGACAGACATGTGAGTCTCTAAATTGTTTCTGTTCCCCAAAGACATTAAGTGAAATTCAGGGGAACTTCCTCAGGAAGTCAAAGTGTGCTTGAAGTGGGAGGAGGTGTCACCTGCTAGCTCAAGTGCAGGGCTAGGTGGCGCCCAGAGAGGGCTAGGGTTGTCCCCTGTGCTGACTAAACCCACAGCTGCAAGGACCAATGAGCCCAGCCCCCACCACAGCCATGCCAATCTGTTCACCCTGTCACTCAGATCTGTGATGGGCCTGGGAGATTGTATGCGTCCCCAAGAGACCCGGAAACATGGTGTCTTTAGGTTTGCCATATTGCTTAGAAACTTAGAGGCTCCAAGTACTTTAAGATGGACCCCAAAGCCTCAGGAAACTGTTAGGGGTCAAAGTTCACTTAGTCATCCCTGGGTAACATGAAAGGTTAAGTCTAAATGGAAAGTTGGCAGCTTGAACCCACCCAGAAGCATCTCAGAAAAAAGACATGACAATTTGATTACAAGAAGTCACAGACTTGAAAACCCAATGGAGTCCGGCTCTGCTGTGCAGCATATGGGGTTGCCATGAGTAGGAACTGACTTGACAGTAACTATTACAGTCACATTGGGGACCCAGCCTTCCCCTACCCCATATTCTTAAACTGCTTCCAGAGAATATTGAATTGATTTTTGTTTGTTTTTCCTTAGCTTTTCTACTGATTGGCATAAATTTGTTGTTCCACTCAAATATGAAAGTTCCCTTTAATTAAGTCTACGTGGCACTGTGGGTTACTGCACCAGACTGCAAAGCCATTTGAATTGCAAGGTTGGTGGTTCAAGCTCACCAGTCACTCCTCAGAAACCCTATACAGGGTCACTTTGCTGTAGGTCGGAACCGACTCAATGGCACTTAACAATAACAACAACCAGGCTCTAACAGAGGGCTCTTAGGGTTTCAAAATGTAGGGTTTCACCCCAGGAAGCACAGAAATGACATAGGTTGAGGAATGAATGATGGATTTGAGGAAGAAAAGGAGCAAGTCAGGCAGGGGGAGTCCTTACCCCAACAGCCCCTAAAAGAGTAGGACCGACTGAGGTCTGCCCACCCCACTTCAGGAAAATAGGAGTCAACTTCACCCAACCCAGGGGCCTCTGCCTCTGCATCAGCCTCCCTCCAACTCAGACCTCTCTACTCCCCCACCCAGGACACCAACCTTAACCAGTAACCTTTCCCTCTGAAAACCCTAACCCACCACTGGGGGGCTGGGAAGACAGACCACCTCCAGACAGACTTGGCCATCTCTAAAATGCCACCCTCTTCCTCTCTAGTAGGAGGCTCTGGGAAACTTGGAAAACTATAGATTCTGAGAGGAGGTCGTTGTAGGTCTAGCCAGTGAATGTGCAGCATGACTTAATGTCCTAATATTCTTCTTTACCCCACGGGGGCTTCCCAAGCCATGGTCCCTTCCTAGGGGAAGAAGTAAATAACTATCCACGCCTCTTCACTTGGGGTCTGTTGGAGGTCATGGGCATGTTCAGGGACAACACATACACCAAACACACATATACACTCAAGAACCAATTCCACTGGGTCAGCACCTGCTTGTTTCCCAGCCCAGTCAGTCAGGCTCTTTTGAGCATGCTCAGAGACAGCTGCCAGGCCTGGCCTCCATTTTCCTTTCCCTTCTTCCTCACTACAGGTCAAATATGGAGGATGAGGGAGGGAGTTTATAAGTCAAGGGCTCTTGTTTATAGTGAAGATTGCTCCTGAGGTGGCAGCCCTTCTCCTGTCCCTTTCTTGAGGCTCAGACCTTTGATGCCCTTTCTTTGCTATAACAGATGCAGGCCGAAAGAGATGGCCACCAACACTGTCAGGACCATCCTCTCCCTTCCTGTTTCTCCCACCCTGCCAAAGCTGATCCCATTACCAGAGACTCAGGCCAATGAGTTCCCTTCATTTCATAAGAAAGAGTGAACAGGACAGCCTTCCTACCTATACTGTGAATCTCTTGCTTTCTCAGGTCCTACCCTGGTAGTATAGTGGTTAC